GCCGGACCCCCTTGCTGTTGTGGCCATCGAGGGGAGGGGGGTGGGGGGGGGGGGGCCCCCGGTGGGGGGGGGGGGGGGGGGGGGGGGGGGGGGGGGGGGGACGGTGGTGGGTCTGCTATTTTCGGGACGCCGGACCCGCACACACAACGGTCGTGGGGTCCGGCGTTCTAGGAACGCCAGACCCGCTGCGTGGGGCAGTAGCGAAACTCCCGTGCCGCGACGGATGCTTCTTCATGTCACTTAGTGTTGTTTTCTTGTTGTTTTTTTCTGTGCGACCCTTCAGGAAAATCAGCGTCTGGCTCCGCCCCCGAAAAACGGTCATACGGCAGGTCTAAGCTCTACCACGACAAACCATGGGCTCTTGATTGGGTAGGTGGCCTTCATATGCCGGGTTGCGGAGCCGTTGTCTTTTTGAGCGATGACAATGGCCTGAGTTGGTACTGCTGCGGAGGGGTGGAGAAATCGGAAGCGGGGAGGTTTACCTACGACGGCAGGAAGTTCAGGACCTTTTTCCTTACGTCTGTCTATGACAGAGAGGGGAAAAACTGGGTCAAGGAAGACAAGAAGGTGTCTCTTGATCATCGGCTCTTCCAAGGATACGGGGTCAAGGCTTTGTCCATGAAAGCGTTTGATGTGCGCGGGAACGGAACATAGTTCCAAATGCTGGATCCGAAAAAGTTTCTTTCCAAAACCAATGGCTACCGCGTGACTGGGTCCCTACCTGTCGTCGACAGCGCTTTCATGCTCAGCATACCTTTGGTCCAATTCAACAACCCGACGGACCAACTCGCGGCTTTCGTTATGCGATACAGGGAAGAGTTCGCGAGGCTGCCTGCTTCCCAACAAGTTGACCGTGTTTTCGTGCCAATTGACGCCCCGTCTTCGTCGGCTGCGGGGCCCAAACGGCGCCAAGATCAGCCGGCCAGAGCGGGTGGAAAGAGGAAGCAATTGCCGACTGCCCCGTCTTCGTCGGCTACGGTTGTCCAGGCTCTGCCCGCTCCAGTAACGCCCTCAGATCGGTAAGGTCGCGATGCGGCCGAGCAGTCCAGCGAGGCCACAGACTACGACGACGGGGCTGTGCGCTATTGGGCTGGTCCGCAACATCGTTCCCGGGGAGGTGCAGGTGCCTTCGATGACGAGGAATGCGAGGGCCAAGATGGAGAGGGCGGTGGTTGGGATGGGGAGGGCGGTGGTGAGGAGGGGGAGGGCGGTGGTGAGGAGGAGGAAAGCGGTGGTGAGGGGGACGACGGTAACGAAGGAGATGCTGAAGGTGAGGACGATGGCATGGACGAGGAGAGAGACGATGTTGGTGAGGAAGTCGAAGACAATCGCTCCTATGACCACGCCATGCGACAGGGAGACGAACCTGGCTCATGGGGAAAGCGAAAGAGGGGAGAGGCGTCGACCTCTCCTGCGAGTCGAACAAAACACGCGAGGGCCGACGCCGTCAATGAAGCTCGCGGAGCGTTGACGGCATCACAGGAAGCGCGGGCTCCTCAGAAAACTGGTGGGGGGGGGCGAAGTGGCAGCCGCGGGGGCGGTCGTGGAGGTGGTAGGAAAGGCTCGCAGAGGTCCAGGGCACCTGAGCTGCGGGATTTGGGGGATGAGGGCGAGGGGATGGGGCCTCGCATGCCCGAAGACGTTGAAGAGCTGGTTTAGCATGCCGCGCCCGTGGACACGACACGATGTTTCTTCCTCGAATACGACGAACAGGGCTTCGCCAGGCAAGACGTCCAAGTTGTTAACGTCGACGTTAATAGGATCAAACCCATTCCCCGTGGGAAGATCCTTTTTAACCACCGTTCGTTGTCTGAGAACATTGTGAGAGGCATCGAGAGTGCCATAATAAGCTCCATCAGTGCTGACCCGAGGGTGTGGGATAGACCTGAGCTCGTTCTTGCGCCGGTTGATCGGCGGGCAGGGAAGGCGAATCACGCCGGACGAGTTCTTCCAAAGAGATTCTGCAGAGTCCTACTGGTACGCTGTCTGCGGTCAGCATACTGCCGAGGCCATGAAACGGTTGGTTGGAAAGGACTCCCCCGCGGTCAAAGTCTACAGCCTCCACACGTACTCTAAAGTGCGAGTCGTCTTTTTCGATGATGACCACACACGCGGGTACTTCAATGTCTCCCTCTTCGACAACATACGGGAGAATCGCGCCATGATGTTATCCTTCCAGGACGCTGTGCGTGATATGCGGCAATGGTGGATCGACAACAATAGGATCGAGGCACCCAAAACTAAGGTCAGCGAGAAGGATGCCGTCGCCGTTGCGCATCATAAAACGTGGCAGAACTTCCTGAGGGCCTTCATGGGGAAGGCGTGCGATAAGGCATTCGTGAAACAGGCACTCAACAACGAATACAGCAAGGATTGGAGTAACAAACTTCGGGGGTACCTGAACCTCGCCACGTCCACCCGCACGGTTTGGCCGCTGGTGGAGAAGTTCTTCGCGATGTTCGAGGAGGGTAAGCTGCCAATCGACGACGGCAAGATCCCGCTTGAGATGCCGGGGAGGATGGAGGGGCGCTTGCCCGGCCCATACACTGACGAGAACAAGGGACAACGGACTTTGTACCATTGCATATATGCGAGAGATGGTCCCAAGGCCTCCACCGTGTCCTGGAAGGATTTGTGTCCTACGTACTTCAAGAACTTCGGGGACATGACATACCGCGAGAGAGAAGTCGCGCTACTCCTGCTCATGTCAGGGAAAGTGGTGGCAACAAAAGTGAGAGTCACGCCTCCAAGGGTGAACACAGAGTGCCTCCTCGACATTATGCGCAAGGAGAGATACATGGTCCGCATGTTCAACTACGTCGTGTTTCGCGCCGAGTGAAGGGCAAGGGACGAATGGAACGACGACTTCTTCATGTCGTATAAGGACCTGGAAGACAGGTATGCTTCAAACGGGTTATGCGCAGATGAATGGGAGAAGCAACGGGAGAAGCTGCATAGCAACTTAGTGAAGACGATCCCTCGGCGACTTGGAGGAGTGGAGGAGGCGAGGCAAGGTGCGGGCTTGGGGCCTACAGAAGTGATGTACAAGGAGGCTCCGTTTCACTTCAAGGTCTTTATATACACCACGATCGATAAGCTCGATATGCTTCGAGCGAAGTGAAAAGGATCGCCTCCAGTGCACGCCATCTTGTGTGGGACAAACTCCACAGGCAGACCACATTGCTTCATGTATGCATGCGGTCAAAGGAGGTTATGGCGGCGCCCGTCGACATCGTCGCAGCCGCACAAAAAATGACATGCAGGGCCGCCATCGTGGACATCTCGGCCGCGAATTTCAAGATTGCATGGACCTCGCAGGACTTCGATGCTCTTTACGCAATGATGGCGAAGTGTTGTGGTCCAAATTGGGTCCTCTTCTTCTTTGCACCGCAGAATGTGCAAAGCGATGTCTTGAGTCAATTGTACCGTTGGGAGGAAATCGAGCTCATCCCCGGGTCATGGAAACGCGTGGACAGGCCGCCGAGCGACGTCACAAAGTACGGCAACATCGCTACGAGCAGTCGGGACCTGATGGCGATCGTGCTGCACGCTGAAGGAGGGGATCTGAAAAAAGTAACTGTCGCATCCCGACTTCATAACGATCTCACTGAAGTGCATATTGTGGAGGAAAAGTTCGGGAAGTGTCTCGAAAAACACGGTGGCGTCGAAGGTGACGAAAGTGCTGCATATTCAATTTGGGAGCGAGAACCTGGCAAGTTGTGGAAGTTGTGCAGTTCATTCGTAGGAGAGGCGGAAGGTGTGTTTTTGCTGGGTAGGGCGCACGCGGGTCTTGTATGGAAGTTATTGCTTGCAGGTAATAATGTGATTGCCTGTGACGAGTCGGCCAAGAACATTGCATACTTGACAAAGTTCGTCGACATACTTGTTAAGGATGGGAGATTTGAGTGCCGCCTCGAGAAGCCGCGTGCCACACATCGCACGAACAGGGATATGTACCACAAATTGGGACCGAAAAGACTGAAGGTGTGGGAATACCTGTTCCGCGATGCGCCGAATGGACGCCTTGATGGGGGATACATATATAGGAAAGCGAAGGTGACGGAGGCCCTCAAACATTATCACGGTGCTCTAACTGGCGCCTTCGAGACATTCGTTGCTCGATGCGAGATCTTGAGGTTTGATCTTCACAAAGATAAACTGACGTTTAAGGACTATGCTGACCTCGCTAAATCGGGTGAAGGCTTTAACCCCGTTGACAGCGAGGAAGACTCGTCGGACTCCAACCTCGATATCGAAAAGGACATCAATGCAACCGGGTGGTGTGGGAAGTCCGCTACTATGGAGCAAAGCGTCAAGGGATATGGACCGGGTCAATCAGAGGGATGCTCGAACCTGCCACCCGCGAACAGTGTGGCCTCGGGTGTGGACCGGGTTGTATGTATGCCTGTGGAAGACGATGAAGACAATGAATTTGATATTCCTGCTCAGCCAACGAAGCTGGCGCCAGGCGATCCGATTCCTCCCAGATTTTGTGCAGATCCAAACAATGTGTATTTCTTAGATGACAAATACTCCTGCACTACTGAGGACAAGTGGGGCCATGATATCATTTGGCATGACGGCATTTTCGAGCCATGTATCCAAGGCGGGGAGTGGAAAATGGCGGTGAAGTATGTCTCGAAGGGTTGGAGACCGTTTGCCCGCATGGGAAAGGACAGCTGGCTGAAGACGACGGAGCAATCAATACTATACCGCTGTCAGAAAGA